AGTGGGTGCAAACAAGTTAATATACGCGTTGCCATAATTTTTAATAAATTTATTAATTTTTTATACCATGCGTAAAATAAGAGTTTAAAATTTTATATATAATTTATGCACCCCTGCATTTTGCGCAGGTGCGCAGAAAAAAAAAACCGTAATATAATATATAAAATGAAAAAAGTTTAACAAGATTTCACTGTAAATAATGGATGATTAATTTGTGCTAATGTCACCGAATGGTCTTGATATACTTTGTTAAACCTCTATAACCATTTTAAACAATAGACTTTTTCTTTTCAAATATTAACCCTTCATCACTAGGAAAAACTGAAGCTCCCATCATTATTGGTTTAATTTTTTCATCGCCAACCTTTCTAATATTATATTTCAATAATAAGTAATGCAAAGCAACTTTAATTTCGTTTACCGCAAAAAATCGTCCTGGACAAGCATGTTTACCAAAACCGAATATTAAGAAACTCTTTTCAATACGTGAGGCAGGTGATTTACTTTTCAAATGTCGGAAAGCTTCAAATTCTTTCGAATTTTGGCCATGAAGATTATCATCATAATGAATGTCTTGCATACGAATATAAACACTTCGGCCTAATGTAAAAATTTTAACAAATTTAGTTTCAAATATTGTCTCAAAAGCAGAATATATAATAAAGTAATACCTTTTGGAACTTGATGTCCGCTTGCAAATGTATAATAAGGAGACAATACTTTATGTGGTAATGCACCTAAAAAAAAATGGATTCATTATTCTGGACATAAAAAAAAAAAATAAATTTGATTTGGAATGCAAAACCCACTCGTATCGGAATATACTCTTAATGTTTCTCTAACCATACTATCTAACTTTTCCATTTTCGAAATTTGTTCAATAGAGTAATAGTCAGTTTCTTTACTTTTATACATTTGTTCTTGTTCTTCTAGTAATTCCTCATGAATCTGCGGGTTATTTACAAATTCTAAAAAGAATAATCTCTCTTTAGTATTTATAAAATATACATAATTGAAATAACAAAAAAAAATATTTACCTTGTAGAGCATAAGTAAGAAATGTTGACGTTGTATGTACAGCTGCAAATATTACTGAAATTATATAATCCGTGATGCCTTCGATATCTTCACCAAAAAGTTCAATAAATTTTTGTAAAAGATCAACCTAAATTAAAGGAAAAAAAGTCAGGATTATTCTAAAATAACTAGTTTCAAAATATAATATAAATTACCGGTGGAGTATAAGCACCATCAAGCTTCTTCATTTCACTTAATCGTTTATTAACCACTGGCGTAATCTTTCTTTTAATGAGTTCTCTATGACCTTTGAAGGGATTGCTTGAAAAATGAAAAAGCGTTCTAAACGAATAAAGTTATATCAGATAATTGTGACTAGATAAAAACTAGAAGATCACGCATATTTTACTTACATCAGAAAATTCTTCTGCAAGTTAGGATTAATGAAACTTAAAACAGGTGGAATTGCTAAGAACGAAGCAATATCATGTACAGCATATGCGAATGTATTTATCAATTCTTTATCATCAGCCAATTCTTCGGCCACAGCAGCGGCAACCGGTTTTGCGACAAGGAGTTGTAAGGTTTTTAAAGGGGGTTGTAAAACTAATAGATGATGAAAGATTATGAGAATTAATAAATAAAAAAGAGTGATTTTGGAAAAAAAAAATTCTTTTTTCTTACCTTTACCGTCTCCAATTATTTTTTCAATAGATATAAGTAGTTGTTCTTGAACTCGACTCGTATAGAATTTTAAATCTCCTGACAAATTTCTTTGAATAACTGTGGATACTTGATCAAAATAATTGTTTGGGCGACTCAAAAAGCCATGCATAGGAAAAAACTTATCATGAAAAATTCACGTAAAATTTATTAATTGAGGGATGATGGCTAGGAAAATCAGACTCTATGAACTTTATAATTTATAAATACCTCTTGAGTAGCTTCGGTGAAAGAAAATTCTTTGTGATTTTTGAAGATTTCAGGAGAATGTTCTCTGCCAACTACAGTTATAATTTGACCAAAGACGTATAATGAAAAGATTTCTCCGTACTTTTTATAGCATTCTTTCATAAATTTTTGATTGTCTTTATGATAATCAAAAGTATGTCCAATAATTGGATATTTATAATACACAAGATGGGGTTCATTCTAAATAATCCAAAGGTCAAAATTTTTTTTTTTAACAATTTAAAATATCAGCGATAAACACTATTAACATTTAAATTCAGATTTACCAATTTTACACTTCGCTCACGACGCAATAAAATAAATGCAATCAAAAAGCTTAAGAATCCAAAGGCAAGTTGAATATTAGTGAATTCCATTTTATTTTTTTTTGTTTTTATGATTATGACATGAAAAATTACCACAGATTATATACGAAAATTTGATTTACAATCGGATGACGAGCCAAGAGAATTTCTTCTTGAGTTTCATGCAATAGATCAAATTTTTTTAATAAATTACTAAATTTAGCATTTAATTCTTTTATGAATGCATTTCATTTTTAGTTATCAATAAACGTGCGTATTGACCAATTGTAAATTCAAGATCAGCAACGTCATTTTCATGCATGCATATGATATTAGATATTCAAGACGAATGTAGTAATAATTTTCAACCCTTAATCCATGTTCGGCTTCTTCGTTCAACCGGATTTATTATATCCGGTTATTTCGGTTCAATGGATTTTATAACTGGATCCTTCGGACCGGGATGTAAGAATGATTTTATTGATACGCAATGATTTTTTAAACAGTTAAGAATATACAACTTTAAATTCAGGGGAATAAAAATTTTAAGTTTCTGCTCAATATGTACAGATAGTAAAATTTAATATTTTTAAAATACTTTTTAAAATATCTTATAAAATATTTTTTTTATTAATCTAAAATTATTTTATTAGAGCGTTTGTCACGCTCAAAAACCGAGTCGATACGTGATTGGTTGCTTTCATTACACCGCTCCGGACTTAATAATTGTCCATAATTAATAAACCGGAGGTTCAAGGTATAATAATAAAACCGGTTTTTTTATACATGTCAATCCGAACCGGAAAACCATTAAGGGAATATTCGGCGATTTTTTAAGCCGAGAGCTTGGCGGGTTCCTGCTATCCGCCAAACTATATATATAAGACGTGTCATTGTTATTTTCATTTTGACTCGACTTAAAAAATTGCCGTGTGTCCCGTAACTTATGATTGAATATTTTCGAAAATCTTTGAGTTTTGACGAAGAAGCTCGTCCGAGTTGAATTTTTTATAAAAAAAACTAGTTTAACAGTTTTGGGTTGTGATGAAACTGTTTTACATATGTCAATTATAAATCCTTGAAATTTATTAATCAAAAACGGAATATCAGAGTAAAATACTGTATATTGCTATAATGGACCACCTACGGGATCTGCATAAATGAGTTTTGATCTGTAACATAAAATAAACTATTTATGACGACGTAATATGACGTCTTATGACGTTTTATGACGTGAATTCATTTCATGCGACAAGATAATACTATATTCAAATATCATAAAAACAGGACAGAGCTATTTCCGTTGCTCCCCCAAAGTGACGTCCAAAAAATTGAGTGAGCTAGATAGTCACCCTCGGGATATTAACTGCGCCAAAATTTAACGATCAATATCAATGGATCTTTAGGACAATTCGGATTCCTTGGCAAATGACCAATTTGACATCAAGGATCAGTTAATTGGCATTTCCGTCATCCAAGCCGCAAGCCTCCTGATATTTTTTAAAGAATGTCGTAGCAAAGCCATGGGAAGAAAATTAGTATATAATAGCTTCGTTTCGCTCTTAGTTAACGATAGGATTTGAACAATTTTTTTATTAGATAGTTCTATTCTCTTTGAGCATATTACAGAGCGCCGGAAAAGGCAGTAATTGTGCATTTATTATGTTCATTTATCACATTATTTAATAATAAAACGGTTTTTCTTTATTTATTCAATAAAAACTTTATTTATTTTCTTTATAATTGATATACATTTGTTCTTTCGCTAAATTACATCGCATTCAATAAACTAAATAAAATACATTATTACCTTCTATTTTCATAAGGAAGGTAATTATAGACAAACGTCTCTCAAAGCTTTTATTAACAAAAACCAGCGTGAACCAATAGAAAAATTAGAAAAATTTTTACCAAATCTACTGGAAAAAAATATGTAGGCGTAGTATTTTGTATAATAGCCTACAGTCCTTAGAAAGCCTAATATTAATGAGCGTTGTTAGCTGTGTTGTATCCCAAATGCGTTAATGTCCGAAATGTGCATACATTTCGGATATCCAAATGCGAAGATCGTTTCGGACATGCATTTTCCCCAAATGCGCATTTATCTAAATATCTTAAATGATCACTCGGGATATCTCAATTGCTCATTTCGGATATCCCAAATGACCACTTCGGAAATTATCCCAAGTGCTCACTTCGGATATCCCAAATGATCACTTCGGATAATATTCTAAGTGGTTCATAAATGATTTGCTTATATTTATTAAAGTTTTATAACATGATGTTTCAAATAAATTAAACTAGTAAATTTAAAAAATTTAAAATAATATATTTATATTATAAAATATTTTCTTCATTTAAATTGTAAATAAAATGTAATGAAATTTTACATTGGTGGATTATTGCAATCCTTCTCACCTGGATGACAATTTACATTACAATATTTTCCACTTTTTTTACAAATACTGTACATCGAAATTTAGAACAAAAAGTCTTTTTGCAATTACATTTAATACCAGAAATCTCAACTTCAAAAATATTTTGTAATCTTGAAGCCTCTCTAACACTAATGGTATTATTAGGAATATTATCAAGTTCAGATAAATTATTTAATGATTTTGGTTCTAAATTACTTCCATTATAACTAATATTCAAATTCCAAATTTGCAACCTAAATTTTTCAATTATTTTACAAGGTAAATTAGGTCTATCAGTTTCAGAACAGTCTTATACTGGAATTCTTAAAGTGACTATATTCACTATACTTCCAATTTTAAATTTTAAAGATTTTTGTTACTTAGATTTCATATATTTTTCCATATTTTTTTCTATAATTCTTAATTTCTTTCTGGCTTAATCTTTATACACCTTATTAGATTTATTATTAAAATCAGTTTCATTTAAATTCTAAAATATTAATTATAATAAATTTATAAATAATAATAATAAATATAATTTATTATTAATTAATAAATAAATACCTCTTATCCATTACCAGATTTATTATTTAAATCAATTTCACTTAAATTCTAAAATATTAATTGTATAATAAATAAATTTATAAATAATAATTAAAATTAAAATATAATTTAATAATTTAATGTGAATTTATAAATAAATACCTCTTGTGCATTATTTGATTTATTATTTGAATCAATTTCACATAAATTCTAAAATATTAATTAAAATAAATTTATAAATAATAATGATAATATAATATATTATAAATTATGTTCCGGTGCAAAAAGATTTGTATACCAATAAACAGCACCAATAAAAAAAGTTTTATTAAACAATTTTTTTTTATTTAAAATAATTTCAATATGTATTGGGAAATATAAAAATGCGAAAATCTGATTAAATCACGTGATCATTATCAGAACTACTATAATCATCAAATTTGTCATCAATTAATTATGCATTTTCGTCAGACTTAAAATATTCCTTAGTGTTTTTAATGCTCTTTTCCAAAGCCCAACAATAACTTGTGAGGTAATTTTATGTCTAAATGCATCTAGGAGTTTATTTTGAATAGTTAGAAGGTTTGAATATGAACCTGAATGTGCAACTTCACCCTTCACAACTGATCAAACACCTTCAATAGGTTGAAGTTAACAATGATACAGAGGGTAAAATTAACTTTATGTTCATACTTTTCTGCTATTTAACACAAAAAAATAGAACATTTTCTTTATTCATTTGCACTAATTCTAGAAGTTCTGGCTTTCTTAATTCACTAAAAAAAGCAATGTTATGTTCATTTAGCCAATCAATTATTACTTGTTTTTTTGCACTTGAAGTTGGAATACTTTCAACTTGCCGTTTGTGATAACTAGCTCCATTCACATGAATGGTTACTGAACCATATTTTCATAAAGATTTTTACACAAAGTTGAAAAAAGATCCTCAAATATTTCTGCATTAAAATTTCCATGATAATCTATCTGATTCATAATGATATTGGCATCCTTAACAACATCAGAAAGATTGTCTCATTCTTCAGCATTGTTTCTTTTTCGATCCTGATTTCCTGGAGGTTTGATTGTTGGATCCTAAATGTAAATAGAGTTTAGAACAAATTCATCATGTAATTTATTGGAGAATCCATTTCGAAATACAATAATGGCCCCAAAAATCACTACCAATAGACCATGCTCAAAGGATAAAACAACACCTTGATGGGGAACCTATGTGATACGTGAAGTGTAGTGAAGGTAATAATAAGATTCATCAAGAAAATCTTCTGGGCGAAGTGGAACATCATTTTTACCTACCAAATTAGCAAAACAGAAACGAAGATAACGGTAATGGAATGCAACATTATTTGGTGATTCATAAAGGATATTCCTCCGTTCTCCCTGACCAAAATAATATTCTAAATGATGTAATACCCCTAGAAGATTTCATTTAAAAATAGTATGTCCTTATTCAGAAAGAAACTGTTTCAGAATAGGTGTGTAAAGAGGCTCACCTGCTTTATTAGCATTTAGGATTTTTGTATGCAAAAGTTCAGATATGTTTTCATCGGGTTTTAATATAGGTCGTCTAAGAACTTTATAGGGTGTAAATGAACTATCACCACATCTATTCCAGTCTACTACTACACTTCCAATTGTACCCTCTAATATGCCCAACACCTCAGCAACTCGCTTGCATAGTTTTGACTTCTGATAGCTTTCTTTTATGGATTCATTCACCTTAAAGTAATTATGAACATTAATTATCATCAATTTTTCATTGTCTGTTAATGATGCATCATTCGTTTTAAGAAAGAAGGATTCATAGTATAAAAAAATCTTGTGGAAAAAAATATATTCGGTTATGCTCTAATAAATATTTTATTTTCAGCGCATGTTATTTTTGTAGTACAATATTTCTTTTAGTGCAAATAATTTTCTTTTTTAGCAGTTTACAAATCTTTTTGCACTGGACCATAATTAATAAATACCTCTTGTTCATTATCAGTTCATTATTTGAATTAGTTTTACTTAAATTCTGAAATATTAATTGTATAATAAATAATAATTAAAATATAATTTAAATAATTTAATGTAAATTTATAAAAAAATACC